TTTGGGTAGAATTGACATTTTCACAATGTTGAGTCTACCTATCCATGAGCAAGGTATGTTTTTCCACTTATGCAGGTCTCTTTTGGTTTGTTGCAGTAATGTCTTGTAGTTTTCATTGTATAGATCTTTTACATGTTTGGTTAGATTTATTCCTAAGTATTTTATCTTCTTGGAGGCTATTGTAAATGGTATTGATTTGGTGATTTCCTCTTCGAGTTTCTCTTTGTTGGTGTAAAGGAATTCAACTGATTTTTGTATGTTGATCTTGTATCCTGAAACTTTGCTGAAATCTTGTATTAGTTCCAGTAGTTTTCTTGTAGATCCCTGTGCAGAGAATCTCCCAGAGCAAGGGAAGATTGATGACACGGACCTTCCTCCAGTGTCGACAGAGAAAGTGTTCCCTTCAAGCTGATGCCCTGAATTTGGACTTGTAGCCTACTTGACTGTGAGAGAATACATTTCTCTTTGTTAAAGCCATCCACTTGTGGTATTTCTGTTATAGCAGCTCTAGATGACTAGGACAGAATTTGGTACTGAGAGTGGGGTGCTGCTCTAACAGATACCTGACATGTGGAAGCAGCTTTGAAACTGAATGGATAGAGGAGCAGCAGCAGCAGAGCACCAGCAGCAGCAGAGAACTAGCAGCAGCAGAACCAGGAGATCATCCCCAGACAGCACTGGAGCCGACCCTTGGAACAAGAGAGCTTAGTGCCGGTGCGCAGGATGCTTCCTGTCAGAGTGGGGTGCCTGTGGGCACTTATCAGAGGAGCTAGGCTTACCGGCCCACGGAGTGAAAGAGTTGAGTGCCTGTGCACAGGAGGCTTCCTGGTGGAGTGGTGTGCCTCCAGGCACTTGTTTGTGGAGCTACCGAGCTTTGGAACACTTGCCCCAGCAGGGCAGATGAGGGCATGAGGCCCGAGGGCCAAGAGGCCACAGGAAGCAGAAGCTGAAGAGACAAGGACCACAAGAAGCCGAGGTGCCTCAAACGGTATGGCCATGACTGCAGGGATTTCAAAGAGTGGTGCAATAGCCTCTGGTGTTTCTAAGGATGGAGCTGTCACTCTGAGGGACTAGGAAAATGGTGCGCTTGAAGCCGAGGGAGCAGAGTTGCCATCCCAGTGTGCCTGGAAGACAGAGCTGAAGCCCAGGGCCGAGAGGCCTCCACTCAGAACTCGGAGACTGTGGCCAATACGTAGAGTCTGGAGGGCAGGGTTATTGTGTAAATTGTCTCAGAGAACAGAAGATTATTTTCAAAGCCTTAAGGGCTAATGTACTGTGTTCTGCTGACTTGCTTGGTACCTGTTATCCCTTCTCCTCCTCCAGTTTCTCCCATTTGTAATGGAAATGTCTAGCTCATGCCTGTTCTGCCATTGTACCTTTGGAAACAGAAAACTTGTATTCTAGATTTCACAGGTGAGGAATTTTTAGATTTTGGACTTGGAGTTAAGACTTTTGCTGTGATATGATGAGATGAATATGTTTTGCATGTTGCAAGGACATGAATTTTTGGGGGCCAAAGAGTGGAGTGTTATGGATTGAATTGTGTCCCCCCAAAATATCTGTCAACTTCGCTGGGTCATGATTCTCAGTGTTGTATGATTGTATAACATTTTGTAAATCTGATGTGACTTCCTTATGTGTTGTAAACTCTATCACTGTGATGAGGTTATACTGATGAGGTTTAAGAGGTTAGATAGTGCCTTAATCCAATCTCTTTTGAGATGTAAAAGAGAGAAGCGAACATAAACACATGGGAATCTCATACCACCAAGAAAGCAGTGCCAGGAACAGAGTGCGCCCTTTGGACCTGAGGTTCCTGTGCAGAAAAGCTCCCAGAGCAAGGGAAGGTTGATGACGTGGACCTTCCCCCAGCGTTGACAAAGAAAACATTCCCTTGGAGCTGATGACCTGAATTTGGAATTGTAGCCTACTGGACTGTGAGAGAATAAATTTCTCTTTGTTAAAGCCATCCTCTTGTGGTATTTCTGTTATGGCAGCATTAGATGACTAGACACTAGGTAACTGGGATCTTCTAAAAAGTTAACACTTATGCTCATCAGAAGACTTCACCAAAAGAGTAAAGAGAGAAACTGCAGACTGGGAAAAAAAATTTTGACTGTTACAAATCCAACAAAGGTCTAATCTCTAAAATCTACAAGAAAAATCCAATACCTCTACAACAAAAAGACGAATAATCCAATTAAAAAATGGGCAAAGAAAATGAATAGACAGTTCACCAAAGAAGACATTCAAGCAGCTAACAGACACATGAGGAAATGCTTGCGATCACCATTAGAGAAATGCAAATCAAAACCACAGTGAGATGGCATCTCACCCCAACATTACTGGCACAAATCTAAAAAACAGAAAATAACAAATATTGGAGAGGCTGCGGCAAGATTGAAACTGTTATGCACTTCTGGTGGGAATGCGAAATGATATAACCATTTTGGAAAATAATATGCCACTTCCTTAGAAAGCTAGAAATAGAAATACCATATGATCCAGCAATCCCACTCTTAGGAATATATCTTAGAGAAATAAGAGCCATCACACGAGTAGACATATGCACCCTCATGTTCATTACAGCATTGTTCACAATAGCAAAAAGATGGAAACAACCTAGTTGCCCATCAACAACAGATGAATGGATAAACTGTGGTACATACACACAATGGAATACTACTCAACGATAAAGAACAATGATGAATCTGTGAAGCATCTCACAACATGGATGAATCTGGAGGACATTATGCTGAGTGAAATAAGACAATCACAAAAAGACAAACATTGTATGAGACCAGTACTATGAAAACTCATGAAAAGGTTTACACACAAAAAGAAGCAATCTTTGATGGTTATGAGGGAAGCGGGGAGGGAATACTAAATAGGCAATAGGTAAGTGGTATCTTGGGTGAAGGATTAGACAGTACACAATACAGGGGAAACCAGCACAACTTGTACAAGGAAAGGTCATGGAAGCTCTGTAGACACATCCAAACTCCCTGAGGTACTGAATTGCTGGGTGGAGGGCTGTGGGGACCATGGTCTCAGGGAACATCTAGCTCAATTGGCATAACACAGTTTATGGGGTCTTAAAAGCCTGTGAGCAGCCATCTAAGATACTCCACTGGTCTCATCCCTTCAGGAGCAAGGGAGAATGAAGAGAACAGGATACAAGGAAAAGATTAGTCCGAAGCACTAATAGACCACAGCTACCAAGGCCTCCACCAGACTGAGTCCAGTACAGCTAGATGGTGCCCACCACTGAATGCTCTGACCAGGATCACAACAGAGGGTTCTGGACGGAGCTGGAGAAGAATGTAGAACAAAATTCTAACTCACAAAAAAAAGACCAGATTTACTGGCCTAAAGGAGACTGGAGAAACCCCAAGAGTATGGCCCCCAGACACCACTTTAGCTCAGTGGTGAAGTCGTTTCCGCGGTTCACCGTTCACCTGGGGAGTGGACAGCCCCATAAAACCAAATGGGACTAATGAGGTACAGCAGTCCAGGGACAAGGGCCAGAAGGCAGAAGGGGACAGGAAAGCTGGTGATAGGGAACCCAAGGTTGAGTAAGGATAGTGTTGATGTGTTATGAGGTTGTTAACCATTGTCATAGGGCAACATGTGTACTAACTGTTAAATGAGAAACTATGTTGTTCTATAAGCCTTCATCTAAAGTGAGAATAGCAGCACAATTGGAAGAGCGTAGTCGATGTCACTGAACTGTGCATGTAGAAATTTTTGAAATGGTGTATCTTTGGCTATGTATATTTTCACCAAAAAAAAAAAAAGGTCGAGAAGGGAGAGGGTTGACATGTTGTGGGGTTGTTAACCAGTGTCATAAAACAATATGTGTACTACTGTTTCATGAGAAACTATTTGTTCTGTAAGCCTTCACCTGAAGTACAATAAAAAAATAAAATAAAATAAAAGACCAGACTTACTGGCCTGACAGAGACTGGAGAAACCCTGAGAGTATGGCCCCCAGACACCCTTTTAGCTCAGTAATGAAGTCATTCCAGAGGTTCACCTTTTAGCCAAAGATTAGACGGACCCATAGGACAAAACGAGACTCAAGGGGCACTCTAGCCCAGGGGAAGGACTAGAAGGCAGGAGGCGACAGGAAAGCTGGTAGGTAATAGGGAACCCAAGGTCGAAAAAGGAGAGTACTGACATTTCATGGGAATGTTAACCAATGTCATAAATCAATATATGTACTGTTTAATGAGAAGCTAGTTTGTTCATCTAAAGTACAATAAATAATAATAATAATAACTTGGCCACGATCAAATAGCTCATTCCTCTGTACCATACATTGCCCCTAAGTTACTTTAGTCGATAATATTAGGCACCCAGATAACTTTCCTCATTTTAAACAAGAAACGTTTTGCTATCTGTCCAACGATTCATAGGTGTGTATAAATGCCTCTGATTAAATGGAAACCATAAATCATTTCATTTTGGGAAGTCTTTCAGCCTTCATAGGAAAGCACAGCCAGTTTTCCTCAAGATTGCAAATATATTTTACACTTGTCAATGATTAAACAACTTGGTGGTATTAATCACTGTTTACCTGTATAATAAAGAACTTGCTAGACATGGAATCCGTTTTCCCCCTCAACCTTCTGGAAGTGCTTCCAAGAATAGGTAGCCACTTCCTTTTCTGAAAATAGGAAACAAGACTGAAGTCACCTAGAGTGGAACTGAGATACAACAAAAAGTAGCGTCAATAACAAAGTGCTGTGGTTCCCTGCCTTCAGACCCTCTTCAGGCTGCTATATTGGTTTTTCTTTTGGCTTTGTAGGAAGAGACCCTCAAAATAAAACAAAAACAAATCTCCTTTGCCCTTGCAAAATCTAGTATTTCTTTCTTTTTCTTACACCTCGCTGAGAAGAGGTTTTTTTTAAAGCCCCTTCACCTTTACCCTTTCTTCCTTGGCTGGACTTTGTTATTTATAAACCATGCAAAGCTAATTATAGTACAAAGCAGTTTAGCAAGCCACCTTTCCACCTTTGTTACTTCAGGAAGGCACTTGGAAGGGACAAGACGTGAGACATGGCTAAGGACAAAGACAGGAGAGACTCCCTCCAAATGAGTATGAAGGGATGCCGGACAAACAACGGGTTCGTCCAAAACGAAGACATCCCGGAGACGGAGCCAGACTCAGGCAGCCCAGAGGACAACCTGCAGACCTGCGCCGTGGACGTCCATGGCCCCAAGGTGCCCGACTTGAAGGGTGTGAAGCCCTTTGCGGGGATGCCCAAGGAGGTGCTGCTCCAGTTCTCGGGCCAGGCCCGCTACCGGGTCCCACGGGAGGTCTTCTTCTGGCTCACCGTGGCTTCAGTGGTCGTGCTCATTGGCATCACCACAGCCATCATTGCCCTCTCTCCAAAGTGCCTGGACTGGTGGCAGGTGGGACCCATGTACCAGATCTACCCAAGGTCTTTCAAGGACAGTGACAAGGATGGAAACGGAGATCTGAAAGGTGCGTGCGGGAGAACGCTCAGGGAGGGAGGCTGAATGAGGGTGGTTTATGGTTCTCTCATTCCCTGAAACCCAGTTACAGCCTGAATTGTGTGGTAAGCACATTCCTCCATGACCAGTCAGGCCAAGATTCTCCCTTCCATCTCACCCAGCATTTTTCCCTCTGATGAAGGCTACTTGCTGGAGGCCTTTGAGCCAATAGAGTTGTTTGATTTACTGCCCACTAATGAGTTGGAGGAAACCCTGGTGGCTAGAGGTTAAGTGCACAGCTGCTAACCAAAATGTCAGCAGTACGAATCTACCAGGTCCTCCTTGGAAACTCTATGGGGCAGTTCTTCTCTGTCCTATAGAGTCGCTATGAGCTGGAATCGACTTGACAGCAACAGGTTTGTTTTGGTTTTTTAATGAGTTGGAAGCCACTCGAGGGCAGTGTGTTTTGGTTTAAATGCGTGTGCTTGTTTGCTGATTAATTCTGACTTCTTACAGGGGACAGGTTTCCTCCTACAATGGCTTCCTACATCTTTGAACTTTATAGTTGAATATCTTAGAGTGACAGTTTAGTTACTTTCCCAGTATACGATGTGGCTAGTGTGGCAAACTGAGAATTTATTAATGAGTCAAGAGTAAATAATGCTTTAGGTAAAAGTTAAGTGATGTTTTAAAAGGCATAGACTCGGTCTTTAAAGCTTATTGTTGTTGTCAGCTGCTGTCCAGTTAGCCCCTGACTCATGGGGACCCCGTGCGCCATCCCTGTGATCTATTGCAGATCATACTGTTGTGCTCCATAGAATTTTCAGTGGCTGATAACTCACAAGTAAATTGCCACGTTCTTCCTCAAAGTTTAAGTCATGAGAACTGAAGGGAAGGAAAAAAGGCACAGCAATGTGTTGGTCATTAACTGAATCAAGGATTATTTCAAATCATATCCATATCAGTAGAAAAATAGAAGTGAATAATTATTTTTTTAAGTTAAGCTAATAGTTTACTGGTGAGTTATGTGAGGAGCATCCTTACAGTTTATCATTCAAACCAACACACTTTCGAGAGTGAAATTTTGCCAGACAGCAGGCATATACTGGGACTGTGTCAGGCAAATGGGGCAGTAGAGTCACCCTAGTTAAGGGCAATGATATAGAAATAAATAAATGGACTAACAAAGTAGTTTTTAATAATTGATTTGAAGAAACTGAAACAGGTTACGACAGAGCGTGGGAAGTAGGGGTGGGCTTAATGCTGAAGATGTTACAAATGAACTATTGAAATCACTAACTTTACTTAATAACTAATGAAAAGCTTTTCTTTTTCACACTCGTATCATTTTTTCTTATTTTTTTAAATCTTTCTGCATCTTAAGTAATTGAAATGCTATCAGTCCTTCAAGGTGCATCTCAAGGCCATTTCCTTTATAAATCTTTTCTTAACCTCCCTATTCAGAAAGGGCTCTCTCCTCCCTCTGGGGTCCTGTGGTGCTTATAGCACTCTCTGATAATGCCTTGTAGCAGATCTGGGTCTATTCCAGCTACGTATGGCCCTTGAGGGCAGAGACTACTTTATAGGACTTTCTTGCCACCTGTAGTGCCCTTTGCTTTTTACACAGTTAAGTGCTTAGCAAAAGGGATGTATTGAATAAATACAGCTGTTGTTGTTGTTAGGTACCATCGAGTTGATTTTCATTCATAGTGACCCCATGTCACTGCCTCATAGGGTTTTCTGCGCTATAATTTTTATGGAAGCAGATTGCCAGGTCTTTTCTCCCATGAAGCAGCTTGGTGGGTTTGAACCACCAATGTTTCGGTTAGCAGCTGAGGAGCTCTTAACCATTGCACCACCAGGGCTGTAAAGCTCCTAAATCTGGAGATATACTCCCCACTTCCTGGCCCCCTCTTTGTAATCTTCTGATATACCTAAACTTCCAGCAAGTGTGGCAGTTTCTAACCAGCTCTTCCATTTGTCTTTCCCGACAGCTTTTCCTTGAGAGATTGGTTGCTGTAATCATAGGTATTTTTCCGGTTTTGTTGTTACTGTTATGAAGAAACCATTCCAGGTTTCAGTTTGTTTTTGATGATTACCTTCTGTCCCCTGGAGTGTGGGGCTGGGATCCCTTGTTTGCTTTGTGACTGTCCAGCCCCTTTGTTTTTATCATCACATTCCTTTTCCCTATTCTGAAGATATTGCAGAGCTGTGCTGGCTTAAATGAAAAGCCTTTTGTTGCCTGTCAACACTCTATGAAGTCCTGCAGCCACCCATATGGGGGTATTGGGGCACAATGAGGCCATAAATAAGCAGCCTTACATAGAAGAGCCCAGATCTGAGCAGTTAGGTGACTTTGTGATTTGGTCTCCGTGACTTCCAGCCTGCTGTGTGGCCTCTAGTTCTAGGAAGCCATGGTGCAGGTCACACAGAAAGGTTAATGGAGAACAAATACTAGACTCAAGTCTCTGAGTCTACATTTAGGACTCTGAACTGGAAGCGAAAAACACTCTTCTGCTAATTTTCCTGCAAGGCTCGAAGTACAAAGAGTTTCGTTTCCATATCGCTCCTCAGCCAAGTCTAGAAATCTCTTCTGTATAAATTCTTAGCTTTCTGTACAAGTGAACAAAGAAAAAGGTCCAAATTCAGCCAGTTCAAAGACAGTCTGAACAAAAGACCCCTCAAATTTTGGCGAGAACCTTCCCTTCCACCTCACCTCCTGTACTCCCTCTCCAGACCCGACTCTCCATACAAAATTTCTTACTTTTTTCTAGGCATGCCCTGTCTGTGTCTGCTCACTAAGTTTCCTTTGCCTTGAAGCTCTTCTCTTCTCCCTCCGCTGCCCACACCCTCCTGTGACTTCCTCTGTCCTGCCCAAAGGCACCACAGCCTCCTGCCTTCATCAGCAACCTCTGCTCCACCCAGTCAAAGGCTAACACCTTGGTTCTCTTATAGCACTTTCTATAGCTCATCTTCAGCCCTTCTAGATCTTCATCATCCAGTTCCTGCTGCTTACACTTCTTAGACCAGCATTGTCCAAAGGGAAGACAATGCAAGCCACATATGTAATTGTAAATTTCAGAAAAAGTAAAAAGAAACAGGTGAGATTAATTTTAAAAAAGTTTTGTTCAATCAAATACATCCAAAATATAATCATTTCAACATAAAGTTAATATAAAAAATATTAAGGAAATATTTTACATTCTTTTTCTTTTGTACTACCAAACCAGTTGCTGTTGAGTTGGCCCCAACTCATGGTGACCCCGTGTGTATCAGAGAAGAGCTGTACAATGACTGATTTTTTGGAAGCAGATCGCCAGACGTTTTTCCCAAGGCGCCTCTGGGTGGACTCGAACCACCAACCTTTCTGTTAGCAGCTGAGTGAGTTAACTGTTTGCACCACCCAGGGACTTCTCTTTGTGCTGTTGTTGTTGTATGTCATGGAGTCAATTCTGACTCATAGTGACCCTACAGGACAGAGTAGAACTGGCCCATTGGGTTTCTAAGGTTGTAATCTTTATAGAAGCTGATTGCCACATTGTCTCCCGCAGGGCGGCTAGTGGATTCGAACTTAACCACTTAACCATTGCGCCACCAGGGCTCCTTTCTTTTGTACTAGGCATTCAAAATTCTGTGTGTGTTTTATACTTGCAGCCCATTGGAATTCAGACTAGTCACATTTCAAGAGCTCAATAGCCACCTGTGCCTAGTATCTGCTGTACTGAACGGTGCAGCTTAGACCCTGTGCCCATTGAGGGCAGGGGCTGGGTATGATTCTTCTTTGTACCTTGACTCTTAGCCCAGCACCTGGCCTGGAATAGGTTCTCAAAAACCACGTGTATAATAAATTAGTTATAATGTAGTCTTGCTTTCAAATATGAAATTTAAACAAGTCACTAATAGGTTTTTCAAATGTTACGTATCTCTGTTAAAAAGGAGCCCTGGTAGTGCAGTGATTAAGCGCTCAGCTGATAACCAAAAGGTTGGTGGTTCAAATCCACCAGCCACTCTGTGGGAAAAAAATGTGGCAGTCTGCTTCCATAAAGATCACAGCTTTGGGAACCCTATGGGGCAGTTGTACTCTGTCCTATAGGGTCCACTATGAGTCAGAATCGACTCAACGGCAACAGGTTTGGTTATTTTGGTTTGATCTATGTTAAAGGCCAAAGGTTATTGCTAGAAGACTAATTTGAAATTATTTGTAGAGATAGAACCTGCAATTTGAATTTTACTTAGTTGGAACAAAATTCCACGTATTTCTGGCTTCCATATAAATACCTCTGTCATAGACATATTAGTTTTATTTTTAATCTTTCAGCCCTGGTGGCACAGTAGTTAAGAGCTTGGCTGATAACCAAAAGGATGGCAGTTCGAATCCACCAGCCACGCCTTGGAAACCCTATGGGGCAGTTCTACTCTGTCCTATAGGATCACCCTGAGTTGGAATCAATTCTACAGCAATGGGTTTGGTTTGGTTCAGTTTCATTAAAAAAAAAAAAAAAAGAACCTAGATATTTATCCGTGGCCTTGACTTTTTTCTTCAGGTATTCAAGATAAACTGGACTATATCAGAGATTTAAATGTAAAAACTGTTTGGATTACTTCATTTTATAAATCATCCCTTAAAGATTTACGATATGGTATTGAAGATTTCCAAGAAATCGATCCCGTTTTTGGAACAATGAAAGATTTCGAGAATCTGATTGCAGCCATACATGATAAAGGTAAATTAAATGGTGGGGTAGGGTGGCAGTTGAGAAAAGCACGTCTCTAAACGCTAATTTAAAGCACTTTTTCTCCCTTAACTGTCATGTATTATTCTAATATAATCTTTTCCTAACATTTGTAATGTTTTCATTTATAAGGCTTAAAACTAATAATTGATTTCATACCAAACCACACCAGTGATAAACATACTTGGTTTCAATTGAGTCGGAACCGGACAGAAAAGTATACTGATTATTATATCTGGCATAACTGTACCCACATAAATGGCATGACCACACCACCCAACAACTGGGTAAGTACAAAGAGAAAATGGGCAGATCTTAAGTGACTAGGCTGGTTATTTATAAAGTTCTTTTAAGGAAAAAAATTAATGGATATAGTTTATGGCAAAGGAAAAATTTCCCAGAGAAATAGAAATAAGATACCCATGCCTCCTAATGTCATTTTGTGTTCTGCGTTCACTGTAGCGCCGATGTGTTCTGGAAAATCAAAACCTATGCTCTTCTTTAGCCTCTCCTTTCCTCTTTCCCTCACTTCCCACCCTGTCCAGCTTAGATCCCATGTCCCATCAGTTCAATAACTGTCTTGCCACTCTCCGAACCCCTTTGCCTTTCTGACTTTTTGCCCCCTTGTCCAACAAAGCTCTAGCCATAAATGAACCCAACCATCCACCTTCTCTTTGCCTGACCCTTGGCTTCTGAGCCTCTAGAGACATCACACATTCACTGTCCCCACCTGGACTCAGCCCTCCAATCTTCTTGGGAATTTTTCTAAACCAACTTCTCTCTCTTCTTCTCTGCAAACTTCCTACCTGCCTCCTTATCTTACCATGTTCAGTAGCAAGCTCTACAGAGAACAGAAGTGACCAAACCTGCCTGCCCCTCTTCCTCCCCGCTTCCTACCCACTTCCTTTACAACAGAGCCCGCATCCCTTCTCTCTAGGGTTGCCAGATGTAGCAAATAAAAATTCAGGATGCCTAGTTAAATCTGAATTTTAGATAAACAACGAATAAGTTTTAGTATAAAATATTGCATGGGCCATGCTTTACTAAACAAATATTTCTTGTTTATCCGAAATTCAGATTTACCTGGCTGTCCTGTATTTGATCTTGCACCTCCTGCACCAGACCAGTCTCCCGACCTGCTCTAGTTTGAGCTCCCTCCTGCTTTCTGCAGAGCCTTTTACCCTGTATCATCTCTCCTGACTCCAGTCCCTCCCTCTCTCTTCTTGACCTTCTCCGCAAACATTTAAATACGCTAACTCCTGGGCATCAACTTTTAAATGGCCCAAGGACACTCCAAGTCAAGAAGTTTCGAAATGTGATCTTCTCCCTCCGACCTCCTGTATCCCAGCCTGGCAAACAGGCCATCACCAAGTCTTTGGGAGTTTTACCACTTTATATTTTTTCTTTCCAGTCCACCCATTTGTTAAAATAGTAGTGATAACAGCAAATATTTACTAACTTCTTACTATGTGCCAGAGTCTGTGCTAACTGTGAGTTAGGTTTTAATCCCTGTTTTACAGCTGAGCAGACTGAGGCACAGAACTGTTAAGCACCTTGCCCAAAGTCACACAGCTAGGCAATGATGAAAGGGCTAAGAACTGGATCTACTAGTCAGTCCAGCTTCATGTCTGCTCTTAAAATTGTCACCCATGCTTCAAACCATACGATTTCTTGCCTCTATGACTGCAACAGCTATCTCTCTGGACATACAGTTTTTCTATTCTTCCATCAGTTTTCTATTCTTCCGTAGTTAAGTGTATATGGAAACTCCAGTTGGCACTTCGACGAAGTACGAAAGCAATGTTATTTTCACCAGTTTATGAAAGAGCAACCTGATTTGAATTTCCGCAGTCCTGCCGTTCAAGAAGAAATAGAAGTGAGTATAAGCACCCACACAGACTTCTTCATGACATGGAGGCTTAAGTGGTTATTTGAAACACTTCTTTATGTTAAACGATAATTGTGCAGGAAAATCAAGTAGTGTAATTAAATTCCGGGATTAAGGTGTCTGACGCAAATATAGACACTCAGATGTGTCGGCTCCTTCCTCAGTCTCACCCAGAATAATCTCAATGGGAGAGGGGTGGAAACCCCTGATACCTTAGCTCTGCCCCTGACAAGGAGCTGCTACAATGAAGTGGGTCTCTCCATCTGCTCCAGGGTCTGGCTCTGCATCCAGGCCTAGCCCCACCTCTGGCAGCTGCAGGCCTCTCACAAGTTACTTGGCTTTTCTACATCTCAGATCCCTCACTTTTGAAACACAGTTGATGGCAGTATGTATTTCATAGGGCCATTTTAAAGATTAAATGAGATAATCCACGCACAACACTTCTTACTCATTCAATACTCATCCAATAAATATTAACTTATTTCCTGCTCCACACCAGGCCCTGTTCTAAGCACTGGGAATGGAGCAGAGAATAAAAGAAGCCCTGCTCTCAAGGAGTTTCCAATATACTGAGGGAAAGGCTGACAATTAACTAAAAATATAGTATGTCAGGTGGTGGCGAGTGCTAAGGGTGAGAGGCATCGGATTGCCAGGGGAAGTTGCTCTTTTGTATAGGGGGTAAGAGAGACCCCTGTGATGAGGTAGGTTGTCTGAACAAAGACTTGAACTTTGTTTTTTTAATTGTACTTTAGATGAAGGTTTACAGAACAAATAGTTTCTCATTAAATAGTTAGTACACATATTGTTTTACAACAATGGTTAACAGCCCCACGACATGTCAGCACTGTCCCTTTTCAACCTTGGGTTCCCTATTACCAGTTTTCCTGTCCCCTCCTGCCTTCTAGTCCTTGTCCCTGGACTGTTGTGCCCCATTAGTCTCATTTTGTTTTATGGGGCTTTCTAATCTTTGCCTGAGCGGTGAACCTCGGGAGTGACTTCATTACTGAGCTAAAGGAGTGTCCGGGGGCCATACTCTCAGGGTTTCTCCAGTTTCTGTCAGGCCAGTAAGTCTGGTCAAAGACTTGAACTTTGAAAGGGAGCAGCACGTAGGTGAAGAGAAAGTCAGGCAGAGAGAAAAGCAAATGCAAAGGTCTCTAAGCCACTGTGTGTTTTGTGCATTTCAGGACAAACATGGAGGACCGCACGTAGGGTTACCAGATTTAGCAAATAAAAATACAAGACATCCAGTTAAATTTGGATTTCAGATGAACAATGGATAATGTGATATTTGTGACATTCTTATATTCAAAATTATCTATTACTTATCTGAAATTCAAATGTAACTAGGTGACCTGTGCTTTATCTGGCAACCCTGCCAGTGTGGCTAGAGTGAAATAAGGAGGAGAGGCAGGGAGCTGAGGTCCGAGAAGTAAGGGGTTGTCTGGGAGTTGAATACTATTGTGAGGAACACAGGCTGAGCCACTAAAGACCCCCCTGTGGTTCTCGGGGGAGGAGACTGCAGTGGCACCAGCAGGAAGGAGAGAGGTGAGTAGGAGGCTACCACAGTCACCCAGGTGAGATCTGACAGGGCTTGCCCTGTGTGGTGACATTTACAGCAATACCTGACACATGATTCACAATAAATATTAGCCATTGTCGTCCCTCTTCTTGTGGTACTGAGGCTATCATGGACAAGAGTTCAGTGATGGATGGTGCTCTGAGGTAGGTAGGCAGGGAGGAGAGCCAAACAGAACAGAGTCATGGAGCCCTTTCTACAGTTCATGATGCCAGTAAAACAGAGAAGCTGCAGACCGCCACTCCGGACTCACTAAGGGCACCTAGACCCCTTAGTTTGTTTTTTAAAAAATAACAGCTTTATTGCAATGAAATCCATGTACCATAAAATTCACCCTTTTAAAGTGTGTAATTCAGTGCTTTTTAGTATATTCAGAGTTGTCTAACCATCACCACGAATTCCAGAACATTTTCATCACTCCACAAGAAATCCCATACCTATTGGCTGTCACTTCCCATGACCTCCTTCCACCCTCCAGCCACCCACCACCGCCCCACCCACCCCAGCTCCCTGGCAACCATTAATCTACTTTCTGTCTCTGTGGATTTGTCCATTCTGGTCATTCCATACAAATGGAATCATACAATATGTGCCCTTTTGTGATGGCTTCTTTTACTTAGCATAATGTTTTCAAGATTCATCCATAGCATAGCATGTATCAGGACTTCATTGTTATTTATGGACAAATAATATTCCATTGTGTAGATATGTCGCATTTTCTTTACTCTTTCATCAGTTGAAGGACATTTGTTTTTTTCCACTCTTTGGCTATTATGAATATAATGCTATGAAATTTTGTATACAGGTTTTTGTATGACTCTATATTTTCAATTTTCTTGGGTCTATACCTAGAATTGGAATTGCTGAGTCACATGGTAACTATGACTCTTGGAGGTATTGCCAGACTGTTTTCCAAAGCAGCTGCACCATTTTACATTTTCACCAGTAATGTGTAAGGGTTTCAGTATTTCCACATCCTCACCAACACTTGTTATGTCTGTTTGAGTATAACCATCCTAGTGAGTGTGAAGTGTTATCTTTTTGTGGCTTTGATTTTCATTTCCTGGATGGCTAATGATGTTGAGTATCTTTTCATGTGCTTGTTGGCCGGTGTATGTCTTTTTTTGAATAATGTCCATTCAAATTCTTTGCCCAATTTTTAATTGGGTTATTTGTCTTTTTATTGTTGAGTTGTAAGAGTATATTCTGGACACATGATTTGCAAGTATTTTCACCCGTGCTGTAGCTTGTCATTTCACTTTCTTGATGGTGTCCTTTGAAGTACAAAAGTTTTTAATTTTGATAAAGTCCAGTTTATCTATTTTTTCTTTGTTGTTTATGCTTTTAGTGTTATATTTAAGAAAAATTGCCTAATCCAAGGCTACAAATATGAACTCCTATATTTTCTTTTAAGAATTTTATAGCTTTAGCTCTTACATTTAGGTCTCAGATCCATTTGGCATTAATTTTTATATATGATGTGAGGTAGGGGTCCAACTTCCTTCTTTTTCATGTGGATATCCAGTTAGCTCAGCATCGTTGGTTAAAAAGACTGTTCTTTCCGACCATAAATATATGGGTTTATTTCTGGACTCTCATTCTATTCCATTCATGTCTACGTCAGTGCCACACTGTCTTGGTTTATATAGATTTGTAGTAAGTTTTTAAATTGGGAAGTGTTAGCTTTTCAACTTTATTCTTTTTTCTCAAGATTGTTTTAGGTATTCTGAGGTCTGGCATTTCCATATGAATTTTAGGGTCAGCTTGTCAATTTCTGCAAAAAAGCCAGCTAGGGTTTTGTTAGGGATTGCTTAGAATATGTGGATCTTTTGGGGGAGTATTGTCATCTTAACAATATTAAGTCTTCTGATCCATGAACACAGGCTATCTTTGTTTTTGATGTTTTGTATTTTTCAGTGTACAAGCTTGTACTTCTTTTGTTAAATTAATTCTTATAGGCTCCTTAGTTTTAAGACCATTTTTACTGTGTATGTTTTATGTTCTCTAGAATTCAGATGAATTGCACTGGCATCTGTTATAGAAGTACGCACATTAGAGTCAGGTGGCTTTGTCTTGAGGGTGGAGAGGAGACATGGTCAGCAGACTAACTAGCGGTTATTATAAACTTCACCAGTGAACTTGTGGACTCTTCTCCATCACCAAGGATCATTTACACATCCACCCTGCCTACACACACACACACACACACACACACACACATACTTATTAGGCACTTACTTTGTGCAAAGTGCTTTACCTGGATCATCTCATATAATTTTTGGAACAAGCCTAACCTATGAGCTTTTATGACCATTTTACAGAGAAGGAAACTGAGGCTTAGAGAGGTGAAGTGACCCACCTTGGGAGTGATAGAGCAAGATTCAAACCCAGGTGTTGGCATTACAGAGTCCACACCCTTCACCACAAATGCACACCTGCTTTGAAGCAAACTGTTTCTCTCTCTGTGCTTCACTTTTCCTACACACTTTTTAAAGGAAAGTTTTCAGTTGAAAATTCATAAATGTGAATTTAAACTAGTCAGTTTATCAGGTGGTAGATTTCTCCATGCTCCTGGTGGGAATGGTGATTGGATTGTCTGGAGATATTTAGACAAGTGTAATAAATTTTGCCAAAATGTGCCAGCCAATAAATTAATTATTTTTTTGACTAACTCAACTGTTCCCCTGCAGGCATGCCAATAGTGCAGTGTGTGAATAGGAGCCTTATTTACTAGTCTCCCAGGATGAAATCCCTCTTGGAATGACTCATTAGACATTATTTGCAGGGCTGGTTTAGGAGATTTACTGTTAGAAATAAATACGGAAGGCTGAGGGGCTGGGAGGGAAGACTCTTTGCTCTTGGAAAGGAGTTTTCTGCGTGAAGGAGACTTCTGCTCCTTTCTCCCCCAACAGTGCTTATCTTTGCAGTAGAGTTAAGCAGGTTAATAATTTGCAACCCAGAGAGTTTGGGCGGGGGTGGGTGGCACATGTGGAATGATTCTTGCTGACTTACCAGTTTGCGTTCACTAAGCCTGAGCTTTGTCCTCTTCACTCCCATCAGACTTCAGTTCATCTGCACAGAGAGGACTGGGTCTTCTCTGCGGGGGGCTGGGCACGCACAGGGCACCCAACACATGGCGCCCTCCTCTCTTCTGTCTCTCCTCTCCTCAGCAAGGCTTGAGTGCCTTCAGCTGGAGAAGCCAGGAAGCCTTCTTGAAGGATGTATAGAAGTTTGTACTTTTTCCAATCACTTTGGCTTTTACTTGCTTCCCAAATGCCTGATTTGACAAATGAGGAAATTGAGGCCCAGAGACATGAAAGTGAACCAGGGGGCTTGCAGCCTAGCAGAAAAGAGACTCTGGAGAGCCCAGCCCTTTGTCTGGGGCTCAGTGTGATCCTAACCCTGTATGTGG